CCATAACCTTATATTGATAATTTAAGAAATGTTCCTACTTAATACAACCGGTTCCTCAAATAGAAGCAGATATGAAAAGGATGAATAATAACTGGAAAGAGCTGGAAAGGATTACCCAAGATAAGGTTGGATGGAGAGTGCTGGTGGGCAGCCTATGCTCCTCCACGAGGAGGAATAGGCGTATGTAAGTATTTCAAAAGTTATTCAGTTTGAATTAGTTAGAAAGCTATAAATAGACAATTGACGAACTTTTAACTTTACTACATACACATGACATAATAAACAATTCCCTAAATAGGTTCAACGTAAACACATGTTTGTATGCCAATATCAGAGCTACTCAAATACGTATTAATATTAATGATATGGGACAATACTAAGTTATTGGTCTTTATTTATTAACTCATTTACTAAGTACAGATTTATGTACTTGGTTTTGAGTTATACTAAGTGTGAGGGATAAAATTACTACCCGGTTACCGCAAAAGAAAGTAGGAAGAGCATAGTACAAACCTAAGACTTAATAATCAGAAGTTGAATGTTTTAACTACTGAGTAACGGCTATACATTAAATTGTTGGAGTAAAATACATTTTGTAGCTCAAGTCACAAAATACGAAAAGTCAGTCAGTAACAACGTAGAACTTCGTACGTACGTACATCAGTTCGAGTTGCCATACCACATTAGCACAGAGATGCAGTGGTCGATTCAAATCCTGTAGTGGTAGAGGTAGCAAGAGTATAAGCAGTATTCGGGAATATTAGGGTTTGGAGATGTTATTTAACGAGTATAATCCAGTGAAATAAATTTGGAAAGAGGAAAAAAAGGGGCATGAAGAATTCAGATAATTAGAATTTGGGAGAACATAGAGAGTGGATGCACCTGCGCCATTGCAAACGATTTTGAGTCATGTCATTCAGGGTCTCTAACCATCGGTTGCTATCATCTCGCGGTCCCCAACCAGGTAGTCTACACCTACCAACATGACTCAGTCCACTTGTCAGTGACTTCATGGATTTGTGCCATGTTTTGGTCTGGCCGCCCCTAGCTTTCTTCCAACCTACTCCTATACCACTGAATATAGCACGTCGAGGTAGTCGGTGGTTGGGCATACGTAACACGTGTCCCAGCCATCTCAACTGATGAAGTTTCACTACTTCATCAATTGATTTGCCATCCTTACCTAGTACCCGTTTCCTAACAGTTGCGTTACTTACTCGGTGGTCCCAGGATATACGAGCAATACTTCGAAGACACCTATGATCAAATACTAGTAACCTACGAATATCCTCTACTCTTACCGGCCATGTTTCACAGCCATAAAGTAGGACGGAACGAACTGCTGCGCAGTAAACACGTCCTTTGGTTGGTAGACGGATATCTCGCCTACGCCATAAATGACGCAAGTTGGCAAAAGCTAGTCGAGCCTTCTGTATCCGTGCTGAGATTTCGTCACACACCAGACCACAAGGGCTGATGAGACTTCCAAGATAAGTGAAGCGGTCGACACACTCAACTACTTCACTCCCTATCACTAGTTCGGGTGTCGATGTAACCCAATCCTGAAGCAACATTTTGCATTTCGAGGGAGAGAATCGCATCCCGAACATGCTTGCATTGTTGCTTAGAGTGGTCAGAAGACTCTGCATTTTGTCAGCGTCTTCACCAAATAAAACTATGTCATCTGCATATTCTAAGTCAACAAGTGAACCTCCCGGTAGAAGTTCAACCCCCGGAAATTTAGATGAGGAGAGTGTTATCTCTAAAAGTACGTCGACCACAAAGTTGAACAAGAATGGGGAGAGTGGACAGCCCTGACGAACACCACTTGAGGTAATCAATTCTGATGACAGTTCGCCATAAGCTCTCACTCTACCAGTTGTGTTCGAGTAGAGAGCCTTTATAAGGTTAATGTACTTCTTTGGTACTCCTTTCAGTGACAAACACTGCCATAGAACCTTACGATCAACAGAGTCGAATGCCGCCTTAAGGTCGAGAAATACTACCATTGTGGGGCGTCTAAACGTGTGTCTGTGTTCTAGAACCTGACGTAGTGTGAATATCTGATCTATACAACCACGTCCAGGTCGAAAACCAGCCTGATTTTCTCGAGTCTGCTCTTCACGAGCTTTGATTAGGCGTCGAAGTATTATTGAAGCTAATATTTTAGACACTATATTAGTCAAACTGATTCCTCTGTGATTGTCACAAGAGGACTTTTGTCCTTTCTTATAAACTGGCACAATCAGTGATTGAGACCAGTCAGATGGGATTACGTCCAGTTCCCAAATTCTACCTAAGACCTCGGTTAATCTCATTGCTAATACTGGACCACCATCCTTAAAAATCTCAGGAGTAAACCTGTCAGGGCCTGCTGCTCTCCCTCGTTTCAGATTTCCTATGGCTTTTTCAACTTCATAAAGAGACGGAGGACCTACATTAACTTGCCATTCAGGTTGACTGGAGATCGTGGGAAACCGAAGATAATCTGAAAAGACCGGTTAATTTAAATGCTAACATATCTGAGTTTTTCCTTACAAAATGATGATTTCTGCTACCCAAAGTAACTAATGCAACACATACAAATACTATGTGAATGTATTAAGAATTAGACCACCAGTCATTTTTTATGCACTAAAAGGTAATCTGAAAATTATGCCACTCATATTGAAGTCATTAGTCTTACATCGTGCTCAGTATATACCACAAGAGTTTACTCTCATTTATCTATATGATAATTATGAGTATATTTGGAGGGCGGGGAAACAAATTTATCAAGGAAATATTCCCTTTTTGGACAACTTTTCATAGTGGCATTAAATCAATAGGTTTGACTGATATTGGATAATAGAAGTGTGTTAATTTTATGGGTTACATCATAGACTGAAAACTAAGAAGTATTAGTGTTCTAGTGAGAAGCCGTGATCAGTCTAACCAAGTGGGATGTGAGACAGTTACACATTAAGGGCACTGAGAGGTTGTTGCGCAGTATCGAGAATCGATTGGAGTTACAAATGCAAACCTCAGGAAACCAAATTAGCGACCGAAAGGTTAATGGTTCGCTGTGAAACCTGAGCTGGATCCGATTCCCAGATGGAAAGTCGTCGACGAGTACTTCCAAGGAGTTGCATACTAGGACGAAACAGCTGTCCGGTCGTGTCTGGTTTTTAGTGATTGTCTAACTAAAATCCGTGGTCTAAACTAAACTAAAGAAGACCCTGATACTAATAAATTACCACGTAAAGGTGTATGGGTTCGGGTTTATATCACGAAATTCGAGTGAGAGTAAATAAGCTTTATCTGACCATTTAAAACGAAGTAATCAAAGTTTGTGGTTCGTACCCTCAGCCTATAAGGCTGAGTAAAGCGGTTTATTTAAACATAAAGCTACTGAACCAATTTTAAATGATAACAACACTGAAACCAAACAAATAGTGATGACTTATTCAATAACAATTGCAATTTACATTATCTATGAGTCAACATGGAAGTAATTCAAGGACAATAAGAAATTGGGATTGAATTGAACTCGGATATCTACGAGTCGCTTGTTTGAAAACATTAATACTGGTACAAGGAGGCATGAAATGTAAGTGCACCACTCATGAGCTTATGAACAGATAAGAAATGGAATGCCTCTCGAAATCAATCTTTATTGGGTTTCACCAGTAAGTCTTCCTTGAAAGAGCTGTTTTTTAAAGCGGTCAGGAATAGAACAAAAGAAACTATAGTATTCAGGCATCGAAGCGAAACAAGGGAGTTATTACTGTTAATTTACGACAGTCAGTCAGTCAGCTACAACGTAAGACCAGGCACATATTTGCATCGGTCCAAGTTGCCATACCTCATTAACAACAAGATGAACACTGGATTCATAAAAGTAGTTAATTCAATGGTGATAATATATAAAAGAAAGATTGCAATAAGGATATAGTACAGGAAGAATTAGTTCGTAGAGAGAAAGATATGAAGCGATTTTAATCTATTAGTTTAAGGGAAAACAGAGAGTGTATACACTGACGCCATTGTGATCGATTCTGAGCCATGTCACCAGGAGTCTCCAACTATTGGTTACGATAGTCGCGCGAACCCCAACCAAATAGTCTGCATCTACCAACAAGACAAATTAATGATTAACATGTATTCTTACATTCACAAGCACTCTACTGGTAATATCAAGATGAGATGAAACTTACGTTTTGAACTGTACTAAAGTACAAATAGTGGAGAATACTTGTATAGTGCGTTGACCAAAACCATGGTCTTAAATTTCAAGTAGCTGTCGGTTTTTACAACATAAATAGATAGAAGGATATTTCAACCAATCAGTTAACAGAAACGTAGAACCTGGTTGATTTGTGCATCGGTCCAAGTTGTTATACTATTATATCAGCACAAAAAGATGAAATTATTAAACTAAATCCCAGAGTGGTCGTATGAAACACTAACCATAGACTAGATGACTCGAGAAGACAGTGGATTTACGGGACAAAAAGAAAAGATAGTTTTAAAACTCAAGATTTAACAAAAGGTAAATAGGAAATGAACATTTGCCGTTGTGCAAGCCATGTCACTCGACAACTCCAACAACTGGTTAAGGTAATCGTACAGAATCCAACCAAGTTAGTCTGTACGTACAACACAGACTAATCCAAAAGTTGATGACTTCACGAGGCAGTAAATAACTTTAAGTTTTGTCAAAACGAAAGTATTTAGAGCTGGGATTTGATATGCACTTTAGTGATTGAGAATCAGGCATAGTTTTTTACAGCCCTTAATCATCGACGTAATTTATACTTAATTATCGGGATGATTGTGCCAACAGATTTGACTGAAAATGTTTACAGTGAAACAAGGAGAAATCTAACATTTTAATAGAATAGACAGATGAACCTCAACACCAATGTCATTCGATCTTCAGTATATGGATCAACGAACAACACTAAACTTGCTGTATAGTGTAAAATGAGAAGAAAAATGAAATTTAATGCTTTACTTACCTTTCTAATACGTTTAGTAAATTTTCAGCTGCTTTATATGTTTCTTCATCTTTATCAAATAAACTGGAATATGTACTATTTAACGGTGATCCAAATATACTACTACCGCCAATATTATTAGTAGTGGTGGTTACAGCTGTCATTGAATTCACTAACATATCACTATTATCTAAATTTGGAGGATTATTCACTAAATAATTGCGTAGAACAGTGACGAGTTCGATTAGACAATGAGCTGCCGATTCATGTGCCTAATTATTAAAAATGATAATATAGAATAATGAGAATAAATAACTGAATGAACTAGTAAGAAAAATGGAACCTACGTTCTTATTTATTGATTAAATGATCGTTTTGTCTAAATTGTAGGCAGTAAAAACAGAAAGAAACCTATTGGGAGTCATCATAAAATCAATGTTTAAAAATGTTTAAGATTCCAATGAGTATTAATACGAGCCAACTACTTAAACTAGTCAACCAGTGTTTTGCGAAGAAGATATAGAGTATAAAACAGCTGTTTTATTCTAACTCGAAACATATCAGTGGTGTTCAGCCAAGAGTTTATATGGCATCTAGTTCAATCTAGGCCAATGAGATCTCATAATAAACACAACAAAATCAGATTATTAAACTGTTAGTTATTGTTCCTATTTCAGACCATTTATGCCTCCAAATGCCCTGGTACGGTCGAGAGTGAGGAGAGTAAGCTATCCCTCTCGAAATGCTCTCACAGCCACTGTCAAGGAAGTCCTACTCAATGCCTTCTCGCGGTAATGTTTATGAAATTGACAGGGCGAAAAGCCAATGTCCAGCGCTTTAACCGGGTTGGTGGATATGGAGGATCCACGTAGAGGGGTTGGAAAACCCTGACTACAATCCAATGGTGTACATCGGCTCCAGTATCCTGAGGGGACAAATGGTGTCTAAACTAATTGTTGGTCACCGGCTACCTTGTGGATTAGATCTTTAGGTCAAAGGTTCAGGGAGTGGCCCCCAAGGAAAACCACCTGCTTCTGTTTCGACTCCCGGGTAGTATCACAGTCCTCACGCAAATAAATAATAACTACCAATGACTACATTTTTATTATGTGGCGCATATGTATTTGGTGCCACCTTGTACCAATGTTTAGGTGTTCAAATAAATAAATGAATAAATAAACCTACACCCAGTTCTGTATTTAGTGAGTTTTCTCTTCCTGTATTAATACACAAAGTATGGCGGCATTCGACAAGGTTCTAAGTTGTTTCAGCATGTTTATCTATTTATACCTTACCTAGATAATTCTATAGTAATATTAAATGTAATCAAAAGATTCATAATTGAACAAAAATAAAAAATTAAAACAACTTAATGCAGATGAGGAAGCGACAGAAGTCAGTACTTAGTTTACGTTAATATTAACCAAGCTACATTTCAGTCAGTCAGCCAAAACGTAGAACCAGGCAAACATATGTATCGGTTCAAGTTGCCATAGCTCATTAGCACGACAAGATGAACGCCAAATTCATAGAAATAGTTAATTCAATGGTGGTAATATATAAGAGAAATATTGTTGATAAGGATGTAGTACAAGAAGAAAGAGTTAGTTGGTGGAAAGAGAGATGTAAAGTAATTTTAATCTCATAGTTTAAGGGAAGATAGAGAGTGTATACACCAACACTGTTGTGATCGATTCTAAGCCATATCACTCAGAGTCTCTAATCATTGGTTATGATAGTCACACCGACCCCAACCAAGTAGTCTGCATCTACCAACATGGCTCAGACTAGAAGTTAGTGACTTCAAGCACTGATGCCACGTTTTGGTTTGGCGGCCCATAACCAAGCTACATTTCACTAAACAAAATGACTGTGCTGTTAATCCTCAAAAGAAAAAAAAGATTAACAAACCTTGCTTAACGGCTGGATATTACTAACGTATTTACTAGAATTGTATGTTCATTTGTAAAGGAAAAACAAGGTTAATGAGAATAGTTTAGTGATAATTACTACTAGTTAACTCCAAGAGATTATTTTGCCTAAATCCGTTACATAGGCATTGTTCTACTGATACACAATAAACAATTGTATTAAAGTCATAAGTTCAACTGTTTATGTAATATGTACATGTGTATATTTAAATGAAGTGTCACAAAATGAGTTGAATATGATCGACAAATGGATGATTTACATTATGATGTTAGATTAAATTAGCAAAATTTAACATTAGTGTTAGCCAGTCCTCTTTATAGGCATCGTTAGACCTTCTACATACAAGTATCTGTTCAGATTGTCAGATTTCCTAATCAATGCAGTGAGAACAGACCAAATCATTGAATTTAGATCGATAACCACGATCAATAGTTAAAGATATTGAGTGATATGGCTAAGGATCAGTAGAAATAAAGAATATCCAATCACTCTTTGTCTGACTTTAGGTCTTGAATTCCAGTATTCCTTTGTGTATGCCCTTTTCTTAAATCGTATCATCAATGTTTAGTCTTTGTCATTATTATTTCTAATACATTATTCCGACTGCTTTATGATTCATCACATTAATCTTCTGGTGCTTGATTTAGTATGGGATACTAAGACAAAGCATATTTTTGTCAGGCTCTACGTTGATTGCAACTAGTTAAACTTAGTCAGAAGTAATGAAGACTTGTTATTTCGATTCATCTACTTTAAATCGTTTAAAGTGTAAAAGTATGTAGATTAGGATATCCAAAGTCAAATTGAAATTTTTAGGTTATCAACATTACTCTTTTGACAAAAGTCAAACTAGATACAACATGAAATAAACATATAAAAATAATCACACTTATTACTATAGAAAACCACTAGTAATGCAACAATTATTGATGAAAAAAGACTTACGTCAGACGAATAGATTGGATCAAATTTTTCAATAAGACGTTCAACAAGTCGATCGGTTTTAAACCACTGAGAAGACATGGAAAGTAAAGTAGTTAACAATAAAAAATATTAGAAGAGGTTCTGTGAATATTATAGTAATTTTAATAGTTGAAATCATGAGTCAATTGAAGCTAGACCACAATGGAAAACACGGACGACCGTTTTGTTCTATTGTGGGACTCCTCAGCAGTGCGCATCCAAGACTCTACCTCGCGAGATTCCAGTAAAGGACCTGTAGTGTTAGTCATAAGTTTCAGCCCATAATATATATTATTCTAGTTTTCGGACATTTCATTCTATTCATTCTGCTTGAGTCATATTTTGACCTTGTTAATTATTCGCTTATTAGCCCTGACTGTTTTCATATGAGCGTATGTGTGTGCACTTCATGTCCCATAACTCATCACATGTCGGTTGTTTGTCTGCCTATAAATATTGAGTAATGCCTAGTTTGAAATGGAGTTGGCTTCCCAGCCATTTTCCCTGTGCGTCATTTTGCTTGGCTCTGTTTCATCCGCTTCATGTACGAAATATATGTATTGTCAAGTCAATTCTCGTTATTCGACTTATTTAATTCCGTTATTGGATAACGCGATCTAAGTCGACGATGATATACGAGAATAGGTGATAGCAAACATTCATACACTCTGGAGTCAGATTATCGGGCCGTCTCATTGGTGAGCCCGACGTGATTCGAACACGCAACGCAGCAAGCTACGTCGATGAAGGAACTTCTGCACTCTATACGTTCGGCGAACAAATTCAGCGAAGCCAGCGCAATCTCCAATCCCACGCAACCAGCACAGCCTGTGCAACATGACATGGACATGCTCAAGTCGCATTATCTTATCGATACTTTGTCCTCATGTCAACTATTCTCATTGATCCATTCGTCGGTTTGCTTCATTACTATTCGAATTATCATTATATGCTTATTATTACATGATTTTCAATATCATGACCGAATGTGGAATTAATAATCATGTTCATGCTGTCATTAAATTATGACATTTTCGCAATCATATTGCTCACCGAACAGATTATCATTTTATGAATATTCCACTTTATGACATTCAAAACTCACTGGAATATTTTTACTATTCAAAACATGAAAATTTGCCTGCTTTAAGTGAGTTCGTTCCAATTTTTCTATGTCATTTTGACCTAATATTACATTCATTCACTTAGTCGAGGTCATTATTTTATGTTATCATAACACACATTCTTCATTTCAAAATCGCCTCCTATTATGTCTGTGGATGCATCTAACTAGTTGATTAGAAACCATTACGTTCATCTTATCTATTCTTTCACATGCATAACTGCACGCCGCATCATTTATCAACCAAAAACGTTATTCGAGTACTGCAACTACTATTCTATACCCATCGCACGGTATATCAGAACATAGAGTTTAGAGCTAGTCTCTCAAAGATACACTCTTGTTCGTCACATCCAAGTCAGTCTCATACGTCGCCATCGCTAATCATATGTATTGGTATTTTTGTCATGCCTTGGTACGGTTTTGTAATAAACGAGATCGAGCGCATCTCCCTCAAACCACACAAACCACTCTAGGCTTCATGACCAAAAAGGAATACGACTCTACGTACTTCGTCTACTCAGTCACTATTCTGTTCCTCTGGTCATTCTACTAATACATATTTAACGATAACTCAATGCATCTGTCATAACGCAGACGACAACATTCACTGACTTCACATTTTATGATTATTATCAATTGCAGTACAGCAACGAATATCACCCGTCAATGCAGTTATCATTTCACGACTTGCCTATTGTCATTCTACGAATGGGGAACTACTCATTTAAATTCAAATCCACTCATCGCTAGTCGATGCTATTTATTCTACTGCGGCTCAACGGAACATATATTTAACATATTTCACTATTCTGTCAGCACCACAGACCAATTTCTGTCATATTATACTTTACTTATTTTCACGATTTGTTTCGCAGTCGTACCCACAAACAATTTATTACTGTTTTCACGGTATTTAGAATCGCTCATACGAACTTGTTATTTTATCGTTCAGACAGTCACAGCATTATTAGATGTTAATTTTTGTACGCTCATTAAATTGCTCATATTCGCATGTTAACGTTCCCATTTTTGTCCGCGCCTTTTCTATATTCATGTATTCTTTTACATAAGTATGACATTTTCATGTAATACACTCAGCCCTCATGTGAAACATTACTTTATCGAGTGTTGTACACTTTTTTCGCTACTTGTTGCTAACGTTAACTTCATATCACTTCAGTGTTATTTTCGAAAACAGACATTTTTTAAATGTGCTATTTTCTACGAGGGGGCTATGTAGTGTTAGTCATAAGTTTCAGCCCATAATATATCTTATTCTAGTTTTCGGACATTTCATTCTATTCATTCTGCTTGAGTCATATTTTGACCTTGTTAATTATTCGCTTATTAGCCCTGACTGTTTTCATATGAGCGTATGTGTGTGCACTTCATGTCCCATAACTCATCACATGTCGGTTGTTTGTCTGCCTATAAATATTGAGTAATGCCTAGCTTGAAATGGAGTTGGCTTCCCAGCCATCCTCCCTGTGCGTCATTTTGCTTGGCTCTGTTTCATCCGCTTCATGTACGAAATATATGTATTGTCAAGTCAATTCTCGTTATACGACTTATTTAATTCCGTTATTGGATAACGCGATCTAAGTCGACGATGATATACGAGAATAGGTGATAGCAAACATTCATACACTCTGGAGTCAGATTATCGGGCCGTCTCAGACCTACCAGTCTCGCGCGCGAGTGCTTAAGCACTAGAACCCTGAGCTGCCATCCAATGGTGTCAATGTCTAACTTCAACTAATCCGTGAAATCGAGCGACATATCCACCATTATCATCAGTGAGTTACTATCTCACAACAGACCCAGTTGAATTCCACTGGAGATAAAACAAATATGTAAATTGTATCCCAATATATTCAACATATTTACTGAAGGATATTACATTAACCAATTACTTTGATTGACATACTCCATTTAGCTACCATTGTGATATGTGCTACTGATATCGACATATATATAAGTAGTATGTATCATCAATCAGCAGTGAAATGCTTAGAGGCAGAAGGTAAGAAGATGGGAGAGAAGAGAAAGAGAACAGAGAATATTTGTTGTGGAGACGAAGGAACAGTCAAGTCTGAGACAATTGACTGACATTTTATAAATGAAGTATTTACTGTATGGTTTTTAAATTTTACTGAGATTGTGGAATTTTGTGTCCCGCCTGTGTTCTCGTTCACTACATTACGAGCGAAGTAGAGAAAGATTAGTTAATGAAGCGGTGGATAATTTTTCCCAGATTCAAATCATTTAACGTTTATTTAATTTGGGTAGCCATGTTGTAATACCAGTCCACACTTGAAGCTAAGTACGTAAACCTGAAACATTGTATACAAGTCATAATAAACATTATCGAACTAAGAAAAGATTTAAGTTGATGTGCTTCACACAACAGGAACGGAGAATTTACACTATGACTGGTATTACATTATCATAATCACTAAGTACCTGATGATATGCAATGTAGCAACAGTACAAGCATTCACAAAAACATTGCACGCGATAAAAAACAGAGGCTGGTCTTGAGTTCAACAAAAAAAACTTTAAAACTAAAAAGCATGATTTTCGCACATCAACAACATACATATAGTTTATCCCATAATATTACATTATAAAAGGTAGTGAGTGAGTCCCATTATGGATATCAACAATAGGACTTGGGTACATCCAGCTGACGAGTTCCAAATACAAAGAAACGGGTAAACTAGATCCTGCTACTAGCTACAATCCATCCATTCTAAATAAAAGGTAAGGTATAATTGATGATACGACTGAGATAAATATATTTTAGTTGAAACGATTCATCCTACTTTTACAAAGAATGTAACAGAAAATTACAGGAGACTTAATACTGCCTTATGTGTACATGCAATGTCTGGTAGTCTTAGGATAAAATCACTTCACTAACAAGTGAAAACTAGCATGAAACCCAGATCTAAGGTTTTCTACTGATTTCTTCCAGTCACCTAACACCAAAATACAGTACACATATACATATAATGTCGAATTAGACTACTGACAAAATCGCCAATTGACAGAGAGAATCTGATCAACACTTATCAACAGAAAAATCTGATATCGGTTACCACTTAGTGATAAATCAATGGAAGAGATTATTACTTCTTATGAAATGTCGACTACACACAATAAACAAGTTCTTATAAAAGATCTTTGAATGATTATTGGTATTATTTGTTTACAATGAGTATAATTTGAACAGAATAGAAAACTTCAATGCTTACTTCAAAAATCATATGTTGTTGTTTTGTTTCTTGTTGAGATAATTGTATAATTAAATCGGCCACAGAGGAAGAATCCAAAGATAAGAATAACTGATCAAGAAATTCCTTCGATGATCGTAAATAAGGTATAATCTGTAACAGAAACATAGTTATTCTGGTTGAAAGATAAAAATATTTATGACGGTTTAACTTAAGCGCTACATATTTAGACACTTTAGTTGGTGAAGATATTTATTTATTTAAACACATAAACATTGGTACAAGGAGACACCAAATAGCTATGCGCCACATAAATTATTCGGTTCGTGTGAGGGCTAAGATACTGTCCGGGTGCCCAGACCGAATTGGGTGGTTTTCTTACGGGGCCACATCCGGAACCTTCGACCCGAAGGCCGTTGGAGCAACGTCAGGAGATGCAGTCCCACGGTAGCCAGTAACCAATAATTGGCTAATACGCCATTTGTTCCCTCAGGATACTGGAGCCCATGTGCACCATTTATTTGGAATCAGTGTTATCCAACTCCCCTAGGTGGTCTCTCCGTGTCCACCAACCCGGTTAAAGCGCTGGACATTGGCTTTTCGCCCTGTCAATTTCATTAACAACACCTCTGCCACGAGAAGGCATTGAGCAGGACTTCCTTGACAGTGGTTGTATGCACGTGGCGATGTGAGAGCATTTCGAGTGGGATAGCTGATTCTCCTCACTCTCGGTCGTACCAGGGCATTTAGGCTGAACTTTAGGTTTCTTACTTCCTTATCACATCCTTCAATGCTGTAAAGACATAAACGCCCAAATACTAGTAGCTCATACACGTCTTCTACTTCTATAAAACATGTTTCATGAACAACTGGGCACTATGCCCAAAGGCTGACAGACAAACGTACCCTCAAACAAATAGCGAAGAACAAATCATAAACTACTAATCAATGAGTTATGTTAAATATCAAGTCTCATGTTAAGTTTATTCATTCAAGAGTTTTGTCTGTAAGTTAAGATCGTTTCAGTGATCACACCAGTATATCTACATACTCTTCCATATCGGAAACTAATAACTAAATGAAAAAACGAAACACAGGATATATCAGAAGGGGGTTTTGTGGATATTATAGTAATTTTAATAGTTGAGATCATGAGATAATTAAAGCTAGATCACCATGGAAAACCTGGAAGCACTGGACGGCCGTTCCAACCTATTGTGGGACTCTTCAGTGGATGCAAATCCACGATCCCGCCTAGCGAGATTCGAACGCGCGAATGTTTAACCTCTAGACCACTGGACCGGATATAATTCGAAAAGAATAAACAAAATTAAATGACAAAATGTATGAAATAATATGACAGTTGAAAATTTAGAGTACAATAAAGAGTTGATAAATTCATGTTATTTGTCAGTGATTTTCAGTCGATTCGGTAAAAGTCTCCTAAACTTATCAATCCAATATGTTACATAAACCAAGTATATTTTATCGAAAATCTGGAATCAATTATAATTTAATGTTAGAATTAATCACTATATGGCTACAAGAAAGTCATTTAGCCTCTGAATGACATGACTCAGAATCGATCACAATGGCGTAGGTGTATACACTCTGTGTCTTCGCTTAAACTATGAGATTAAAATTGCTTTATATCTTTCTTTCTACCAACTAATTCTTTGTTCTTGTACAATATACAATCTTTCACATATTACTAAATTACTAACATTGAATTAACTACTTGTATGAATCCGGTGTTGATCTTGTTATGCTAATGAGGTATGACAACTTGAACCGATGCCTATATATATGCCTGGTCTTCCTACATTGTAGCTGATTAACTGACTACTACAAAAAAAAAGAAAAAACGAATAAAATCATATAATAAATGAACAAAATGAACACTTACAATATTTCCACGATGTAATGTTAAATGTATTAATAAACGTGAAACAAAACTAGCTGATAATGGATTAACTGGTTGATTAGAATAATGAAAAAAATTCAATAATAAATCTAAACGTCGACGTTTAGTCGTTGATGAATCAACTTGAATAGCATCATTTGATTTAGTGATTTTTGTGATTGGAGATGAATGAGGTGTTGATAATAATATTTGTGGAGAAAGTTTTAAACTAGATGAGAAGATTTCATTTAAATCATTTACTGAATTATTATGATTATTATTGTCAAATAATTGACTACTATTATGACCATTGATAATAGATGATTCATTAATAATAGACATTGAAGATGATAAATGATTGGTACCATCATGATCATGGACATTCGAATAATGATCAGTAAGATTATGATTTATTTGGTATAGTTCCGATGAATTATTACCAACTATTAACATATCATTACAACTTTGATCATTATTATTATTGATCTCTGTCAAACTATGATCATTGATAATCAGTGAAGATGATGGTAAAGGTGAAGAGAAGGAGGATGGTATTAATATAGATTTTATCTGATTGGATTCTAACATGTGATTATTATGATTATTGTTGTTATTACTACCATTATTATGTGACTCATTAGGAGTATGTTGATCAATTGTTGATTCGGTTAATTCAATTATCCCATCTAGTATTTCACTGATATCATTTGTTAGAATTTCACAGGCTAAACTAGAATATCTGAACAAAAAGCAGGAAACATTATAATTTTTTTATATAAAAATTAATCAAGTTTTAAAAATAGTTTACCATAACTAATCCGACCGTAGTTGCTACTATGACTTAGTGGTCGACTTTGAAGATTGTGATAACCAAATTAAGATGTCTTGTCTGAAAAACGTTTTACTTCGGAGTGTACTATGCCAGATAGATCGATTGAAGAACGGTAAAAAGGCAATAATATAAAGTCTGAGGGCAGAGTCGTGCTGCTGATTATATAGAGGGGGTGTCAGCAATAAGATGTGGTTGAAGATCTACAGAGATACTGTTTACTCACAATGGAAGAAAGAGGTTAGAAGAGATCGGCACCAAAAATGTCGTATCTCACCTTACTCCAGAGCTCTACGTCTCTGGTAGTAAGGCATTCTGTAGTTCAAAGCCAACACATCGAAAACTTGCCACAAAAACATTGTGTGTAACCGGCCGAAGAAGCCATCCTTTGGACTTTACGATCACGCTCCCAGGTTGCTGAGAGCAGAACTAACAAATTTGCCTCTTCAGATTCCCCAAGAAGACAATAGCCGATAAGGGTGTGGGCAACTGGAAAGTGACTCCTGCTACGATACTTCTAACAGCTCACGAAATAGCTTTCTACAAACATACGTGTAATGAATATAACCCTTTATTTTCAAGAAATTAACTATTCACTTCTTTTATAAGGAATGACTACGATGTAAATGTACCTAAATAAAATCGAACGGCATTAAATTTAAGTGCCAAGAACAGGAAAGCACATATAGACTATTAACTGATATCACCAAATTGCATGAAAATAAAACTCCCAAGTTTATGCCATCCCTCTCAATACAACTCTAAGGCAGTCAACAATAACGAACAAATGATCCGACTTATTACTAAACTTTAAACTACTTAACTATCGTTTCATTCTGATCACCAATGACTAAAAGTAAATGTCAAATTTTAAGAAATCTTTATCATAGAAAGACAACCACTGGAGAACTACTGAAAACACTGGCCAATGATGTTGCAACCATTGCAATAATTAAAAATTGTTTGTGTACATTGCTGACGAATTTTCTGTCAACACAAGCCAGATGCTCAGGACTGTCTTATCTGACGTTAATTAGTGATTAGATTTACTTTCGAACTGCTGCTACCTTGACGTGGTGGTCGGGCTTGCCTATCGTGATGACTCAACCGAGCTATATTGGCTGGAACATATGTTCCTGTAGGTTCTACCATGCCAGGCAGGTCGATTGGAGAACGGTAAGACTCAAGGCAGAAACTCAAGGTCTGAGGGTGAAGTCGTACTGCTGATTTTACAGGGCTGTGACAGCAGTAAAGTGTTTCCTTCGGACAACAAGCATCTGCCTTCTCACAAGGAAAGAAGTGGTTAGAAAAGGTCGACCCTAAAAATGTCACACCACACGGATTTTCGTCTCCGGTGGTAAAGCCCTTTGAAGAACGGAGCTAACACGTCAAAAACCTCCCACAAAAAGGCCGTGCGCGATGCCCTCAAGCAGTTGTTCCTTGGGCTCTGCGGTCACGCTCGCAGGTCGTTAAGGCCAGCATTAATCCGACTTCCTTTTCAGGTTCCTCAAAAATACCCTTCCATAGTGTGGGCAGCCGAGAATCAGTATCAGCCCTCATACCCGTAACAGCACACGAGGCCAAGTCGGTCACATTCAAATCCTTCCTACACCTCCAAATAAATCTCTCATCTTCACGACTATCTCTTCTCACAATCCTTTATCACCTCGCATCGCTAATGCAAACGATTCGAGTACGCGGAACGTTATTCCTGGTCACCTGAAACCACACTCTAAACTACATGTAGGAGCTTTTAACGTTCGGACACTGTGCCAAATAGGACAAGAAGCTTCCTTAGCTAAGACTTTAGAATCTCGCGCCATCGATTTGTGCAACGTCTCCGAAACGCACACACAGGATCCGAGTGGCGTCATTCATTTGACCTCACCATTTCAAAGCAACGAACCAACTCGATTTACGATCCGTGTATCTGGAAGTACTGATGCTGCTTCCCGTGGCCTCGCTGGCGTAGGTATAGCATTGAGTCCTAGGGTAGAACGAGCTCTCTCGGACTGGATCCCAGTAGACAGTCGTTTGTACGCTGTTCGACTAAACGGAACAGTAAGGACTCGGAAATATAGGGACTCTCATCGTTGCCTCTTCGTCGTCTCTGCCTATTCTCCCACTGACTGCAGCTCAGATGATGTAAAAGATGAGTTTTACAGAAAGCTTTCCGACCTTCTTTGAAAAGCTAGACGCTCGGATGTAGTAATAGTGGCCGGTGACTTTAATGCTCAAGTAGGTAAACTAAGCGATAGGGAAAGACACCTAGGTGGATCTTATGGTGTCGTGACTCAAAGAACATATAATGGCGACCGTTTGTTGCAGCTTTGTTCAGATAACCGCCTCTTTCTTGCAAATACTAACTTTAAGCATAAGGAAAAACATCTTTTACCATGGAGACCCCCTAATTCGTCCCAACGTTGGACCCAAATAGACCACATCGCTATCAGCCACCGATGGAGGGGCTCGATAGAAGACTGTCGCTCATTCTAAAGCACATGCTTAGATTCAGATCATGCTCTAGTACGAGCGCGTATTTGTCTGCGTCTTACTGGACGCAGGAAAGACGCTGCAAGTAAACCTCTTAGGGCCCTACTTAATGATAGTCAAGCTAAGAGTATATTTCAGGAACAACTAGGAAAACAGTTAGGCAGCCATGTATGTGATGCCCACCCCGAGGCAGCATGGAATGATATCCGAAAAGCTGTAGAAGCATCAGTGATATCTGCTAGTACGGTAACCCGTAAGGTTAGGGAGCGACACTGGATTTCAGCAGCATCTATCGCATTGATAGATGCTCGGAAACTCATTCCACCTGGCTCTGAACATAATAAAGAGGGGAGTCAGCTTAAGCGCAAGCTGTTAAGAAGCCTAAGCAATGATCGTGAACAGTGGTGGGTAGCGAAAGCAAGAGAGATGGAAAAGGCAGCGGCAATAGGTAATAGCAGACAATTGTTCAGACTTGTTAAGGAAACCGGCATTAGGAAACCGACTGTTAGCAAAACACTTTCAGAGAGAGATGGACATATTATTCATTCTCAATCCAGGAGATTGAATCGATGGGTAGAAAACTTTAGGAATCAGTTCAACTGGCCTTCAGCTACACTTCGGTTTCCCACGATCTCCAGTCAACCTGAATGGCAAGTTAATTTAGGTCCTCCGACTCTTTACGAAGTTGAAAATGTTATGAGAAATCTGAAGCAAGGGAGAGCAGCAAGCGTTAACAGGCTTACTCCTGAGATTTTTAAGGATGGTGGTTCAGTATTAGCAGTGAGATTAACTGAGGTCTTAGGTAATATTTGGGAACTGGACGTAATCCCATCTGACTGATATCAATCACTGATTGTGAAAGTTTATAAGAAAGGACAAAAGTCCTTTTGTGACAATCACAGAGGAATCAGTTTGACAAATATAGTGTCTAAAATATTAGCTTCAATAATACATCAACCCTTAACCAAAACTCCGCCTGTAGCTCTTATAGGGTTACTGCCGGTCCCAAGCCCGGGTAAAGGAGGAGGGTTGGGCATGGGGTTAGCGTCTCCATCCCGTAGAAAACTAACTCGCTAAAAAACGCTTACCACTAAAAATAATCCAAACCATTTAAACTCTGCCCTGGGAGTTAGAAGGTCTTCATTTAGAAGAATTATGACGCTTCATGTTGAAAGCCCAGTTCCTTCGGAAGCCACGAGGCCGATGCCCCTTCTAACAACCAGAGCAAAAATTTTTATAGGTACATGGAACGTTCGAACAATGTGGGAAACCGGGAAGACCAGTCAAATAGCAATGGAAATGAGGAGATACAACTTAGCAGTACTGGGAATCAGCGAAACCCACTGGACCCAAGCTGGACAGAAAAGGCTAGCTACGGGAGAGATGCTGCTATACTCCGGTCACGAAGAGGACAATGATCCACACACTCAGGGAGTCGCTCTTATGCTGTCCAAAGTAGCACGAAACGCACTTGTAGGATGGGAATCTCACGGATCCAGAATCATCAAAGCATCATTCAAAACAAAGAAGGAGGGGATCTTAATGAATATTACCCAATGTTATGCACCCACAAATGATAGCAACGACGACATTAAAGACCAGTTCTACGAGCGGCTGCAGTCAGTCATTGAGAAATGCCCAATAAAGGACCTAACTATTCTGATGGGAGATCTAAATGCCAAAGTCGGAATAGACAACACTGGATATGAAGATATTATGGGACGACATGGACTGGGAGAAAGAAACGAAAATGGAGAGAGATTTGCAAATCTATGTGCATTCAACAAATTGGTCATAGGAGGCACAATATTTCCACACAAGCGTATACACAAGGCTACATGGATCTCACCGGACCACACTACAGAGAACCAAATAGATCATATTTGCATCAACAAAACATTCCGAAGGACAATGGAAGATGTGAGAACCAGGAGAGGTGCTGACGTAACTTCAGATCACCACCTAGTTGTGGCCAATTTAAAACTGAAGCTAAAGAACAACTGGACAAGTGGACAAACAGCAATACAAAGGTTCAATACAGCCTTCCTTCGAGATACTGACAAACTCAATGAATTCAAGATAGCTCTCAACAACAGGTTCCAAGCCTTACAAGATCTACTGAAAGAAGAAACTAGTATGGAGGACAACTGGAAAGGCATCAAGGAAGCATTAACTTCAACGTGTCAAGAGGTTCTGGGCCTAATGAAACAACATCATAAGGAGTGGATCTCTATAGAAACTCTGGACAAGATCAAAGAAAGGAAGAACAAGAAGGCAGCAATAAACAACAGCCGAACACGAGCAGAAAAAGTCCAAACACAAGCTGAATACATAGAAGCAAACAAACAAGTGAAGAAGAGCATTAGAGCCGACAAGAAGAAATACGTGGAAGAACTAGCAACGACGGCAGAAAAAGCTGCTAGAGAAGGAAATATGAAACAGCTTTACGATACAACGAAGAAACTATCAGGGAAATACAGTAAACCAGAGAGACCGGTCAAAGACAAAGAAGGCAAGCCAATCACCGAAATTCAACAACAGCGGAACAGATGGGTAGAATACTTCGAGGAACTCCTGAATAGGCCGGCTCCAATGAATCCACCGGACATCGAAGCGGCACACACATATCTTCCCATAGACGTCAACCCACCAACGAAGGAAGAAATCTGAATGGCCATCAGACAAATCAAGAACGGGAAAGCAGCGGGTCCGGACAACATACCAGCTGAAGCACTGAAGTCAGACATCGAAGCAACTACAAACATGCTTTACCTTCTATTCAAAAAGATTTGGGAGGAGGAACAAGTGCCGATGGACTGGAAAGAAGGACACCTCGTCAAGATTCCAAAGAAAGGAGATCTGAGCAAATGTGAAAACTACAGAGGCATTACACTGCTGTCAATACCAGGGAAGGTCTTCAACAGAGCGTTGCTGAACCGGATGAAAGATGCAGTAGACGCTCAACTTCGAGATCAACAAGCTGGATTCCGTAAGGATCGATCATGCACAGACCAAATTGCAGCACTACGGATCATCGTCGAACAATCAGTTGAGTGGAACTCATCACTATACATCAGCTTCATTGATTATGAAAAGGCATTTGACAGTGTGGATAGGAGGACATTATGGAAACTTCTTCGACACTACGGAGTTCCTGAGAAGATTGTCAACATTATCCGGAACTCATACGACGGACTACAGTGCAAAGTCGTGCATGGAGGACAGCTGACAGATGCATTCCAAGTAAGGACTGGAGTCAGACAAGGCTGTTTACTCTCTCCCTTCCTCTTTCTTCTGGTGGTCGACTGGATTATGAGGACCTCGACATCTGACGGAAAACACGAAATTCAATGGACAGCTCAAAATCAATTAGACGATTTGGACTTCGCAGATGACCTAGCACTCCTATCACGTACACACGAACAGATGCAGATGAAGACAGCCAGTGTAGCAGCAGTCTCTGCATCAGTAGGCCTCAGCATACACAAAGGGAAAACCAGGGTCCTCAAATTCAAAGCGGAAAACAACAATCCAATCACTCTTGATGGCGAAACTCTGGAAAATGAAGAGTCCTTCACATACCTAGGAAGCATCATCGATGAACAAGGAGGTTCAGATGCAGACGTAAAGGCAAGGATTGGCAAAGCAAGGACAGCATTCCTACAGTTAAAGAACATATGGAACTCAAAACAACTTTCAACCAATATCAAAGTGAGAATCTTCAATACGAACGTCAAGGCGGTTCTACTGTATGGATCTGAAACTTGGAGAACTACAACAACCACAATCACGAAAGTACAAGTATTTATACATAGCTGTCTTCGCAAGATATTCAATATCCATTGACCGGATACCATCAGCAATAGCCTTCTGTGGGAGAGAACAAACCAACTTCCAGCTGAAGAAGAAATTAGGAAAAGACGATGGAAACGGATAGGACATACATTACGCAAATCGTCAAACTGCATCACGAGACAAGCCCTAACTTGGAATCCTGAAGGGAAGCGAAAAAGAGGAAGGCCAAAGAACACATTGCGTCGGATAATAGAAGCAGATATGAAAACGATGAATTACAACTGGACGGAGCTAGAAAGGATTGCCCAGGACAGGGTTGGATAGAGAATGCTGGTGAGCGGCCTATGCTCCTTCACGAGGAGTAACAGGCGTAAGTAAGTAAGCTTAACCAAAGCTCGTGAAGAGCAGACTATTTATTTATTTATTCATTTTAACAGCCCCCAAATGCCCTGGTACGGCCGAGAGTGGGGAGAGTCCGCTCTCCCTCTCGAAATACTCTCACACGGCCACGCGTATATAGCCTCTGCCAGGGAAGTCCTACTCACTGCCTTCTCGTGGCGGGGGTGTTGTTTACGAAAATGAGAGGACGAAGAGCGAATGTCCGGCGCTTTAACCGGATTCCAAACCAATGGTGCACATGGGCTCCAGTATCCTGCGGGAACAAATGGCGAATGAACCAATTGTTGGTCACCGGCTTCCATGGGACTGCATCTCCTTACGATGCTCCACTGCCTTGTGGATCAGACCTTTGGGTCGAAGGCTCGGGGTGTGGCCCCCTAAGAAAACCACCTGCTTCGGTTTGGGCACCCGGGCAGTATCACAGCCCTCACACATATCGGATGAGATTTGTGTGGCGCATATGTATTTGGTGCCTCTTTGTACCATTATCTATGTGTTGAAATAAATAAATAAATAAATAATCATTTTAACACATAGATATTGGTACAAGGAAGCACCGAATACATATGTCCCACACAAATCTCATTTCATATGTATGAGGGCTGTTATACTGCTCGGGTGCCCAGACCGAATTCGGTGGTTTTCTTAGAGGGCCACATCCGGAACCTTCGACACGAAGGTCTGATCCACAAGGCAGTGGAGCATCCTAAGGAGATGCAGTCCCACGGTCGCCGGTGACAAACGATTGGTTTAAACGCCATTTGTTCCTTTAGGACACTGGAGCTCATGTGCACCATTGGTTTGGAAAAAGGGTTTCCCAACTCCCCTAGGTGGTCTTTCCGTGTCCACCAAACCAGTTAAAGCGCCGGGCATTTGCTTCTCGTCCTCACAATTTTGTAGGAACCACCCCCTCTGTAAGAATGCATTGAGTAGGACGTCCCTGATAGTGGTTGTATGCACGTGGCGATGTGAGAGCATATCGAGAGGAGTAGAGGACTCTCCCCACTCTCGGCCGTACCAGGGCATTGGGGGGCACCAGCTCTTGTGGTCTGAGGTGTGACGAAATCTCACCACGGATACAGAAGGCTCGTCTAGCTTTTGCCAACTTGCGTCATTTATTGCGTAGGCGAGATATCCGTCTACCAAACAATGGACGTGTTTACTGTGCAGCAGTTCGTTCCATCCTACTTTGTGGCAGTGAAACATGGCCGGCAAGAGCAGAGGATATTCGTAGGTTACTAGTATTCGATCATAGATGTTTTCGAAACATTGCTCATATATCCTGGGACCATCGAGTAAGTAACACAGTTGTTAGGAAACGAGTACTAGGTAAGGATGTCAAATCAGTTGATGAAATAGTAAAGCTTCATCAGTCCACATGGCTGGGACATGCTTTACGTATGCTCAACCACCAACTTCCCCAACGTGTGATGTTTTCTGGTGTTGGAGTGGATTGGGAGAATGTTAGGGGCGGCCAGACCAAAACATGGCACAAATCCATTAAGTCACTGACAAGTGAACTGAGCCATGTTGGTAGGTGTAGACTACCTGGTTGGGATCCGCGAGACGATAGCAACCGATGGTTAGAGACCTTGAATGACATGGCTCAAAATCGTTTGCAATGGCGCAGATGCACCCTCTCTTTGTGTTCTATCAAGTTCTAATCTTCTGAATTCTTCATGTCCCTTTCTTTTTTCTCTTTCCAAATTCATTTTACTGGATTATACTTCTTGAATAACATTTTCAAACCCTAATCTTTCCGATTACTGCTTATACTCTTACAACCTTTACCACTACGGGATTTGAATCGACAACTCCATCTCTGTGCTGATGTGGTATGGCAACTCGAACTGATGTACGTACGTACGAAGTTCCACGTTGTTACTGACTATATTTATTTGCTTTTTAGTCAGCATACACTAGTCAACTCAGTTAATATAATGTTTGTACAAAGTATACCTGAGAAGTGTAAATTAAGACGCGTGTTCCATCTTGTTTTTGACCTATCAACTGGATGTACTGTACCATAGTATTCATATTCAAAGATTCGAGTCCCGCCTGTACATCGACTTCTACTTGAAAAGAATTATGCACATTCTGCTTATCAACAAATCTGATCAATTGTACAGATACTAATCCGCATTAAATTCATGCGCACGACATAAGTAAGTTAGGAAGCCAACAAACTGATTGGTTTAATCATAATAATGTGTATACTTACCAAGATATCGTTGTGTTATATCTATCTCAATTAGTAAATACATTGATATGATTGAAGAAATCAGGTTGTCAGATTTCTAGCTCTCTAAAAACTGTTAAGCCAACTTTTAGCAGGTAAAGTGAATTCATCTTTGGATTTGTTGACTCCTGACAGGTTTTATGCTGAGTACTTCTTAACAACGACTAAGGTTAACGTAAACCATCAAATGCTTATAAACAGTCGTAGCTGGAGCTAAGAGCTCTTTGTTAGAAAGGGAAGAGAAAAGAACACATCTAGTAAAACAGACAAACAAGCGCTAACTAATTGAAACACGAAACTGAAGTCGTTACTACTGACAACTACCTTCAAAACACTATACGATAAAACCTTAGTAACACTCATTCACCAGAAACATTTGCTTAGGATGTGTTTATGTACTCGACTTTAAATCAAAAATGTAAGAACGGCTGATACCACTTGGATGGTAGAAACCAAACAAGTGAAGCAAGGTTTAAGTACATAGCCCATTAGTTGGATGTTGTGGTCAGGAAAGATGAAATTATCAGCGTTAAAAAAAACAAATACAATTGATAAAAGACTTATCAAGGACTACATAATCATAATTGAACTCACCTATACAAATCTCGATTAAAATCAGAAGATTTAGGTGTTCGACTAACTAAATCTATTAGATAATCCAAATTATCTGGCCTTGATAAACTAAGGAAAGAAATTATGAGTATTTCTAGATAGATGAATAAAAGCTTACAAATTAATCAAACGTGGATCTTTTTCACGACATTTTTGTAAAACATCATCATCATCCAGAAGTTCTTTGATTGTGAGATTCTGTAGGAATAAGTAAGAAGGAAGACCATGGATGATACATACCGGTCGTGATAAAATATCATTGATCTGCGAATATGCAGCAGCAGATTCCCAGAACATGGCTGTAAGATTTGTAAAAGGAATATATTTACATTGATTGTCTAGTAAAGAAACTAAATGTAAAACTTTTAACCTAACAAAAACTGACAGTGAAGTGAATCCTCAAAATATTAGCCGTTATATTACTACAAAGACTGAACTTAGAAAACAACAAACTAAGTAAACATGTAGGCTACTATTCACGACTATTGTGTGAACGCCACTGATATTGTCTCAACTCTGTTAGGATGGATCCCCGTTAACAGTCGCCTATGTGTTGTTCAGCTAAAAGGCTCCGTAAGAACTTGGAATGAGATGGACACACCTCGTTGACCTTTTATCATTTCTGCTTACGCTCTCACTAACTGCAGCCCTCATGAAGTGAAAGATGACTTTTACAGAAAGAATTCTGAATTTCTTCATAAAGCTAGACACTCAGACATAGTACTCGTAGCACGTGTCTTTAATACTCAAGTAAGTAGCTTAAATCAAACAGAAAGACATTTAGATGGATATTTGATTATCCCGGCTCAGTGAACAGATAATGGTGACCTTCTGCTGCAACTGTGTTCATACAATCGTTTATTTTTAGCAAACACTAATTTTAACCATAAGAAGAGACATTGTCTAACATGGTAACTTCTTGCACTAAATCAACAATGGACTCAAATAGACCATATTTTCATCAGTCATAATTGGAGAGGCTCGATAGAAGACTGCCACTCGTCCTTGAGTACATGTTTAGACTCTGATCATTTTTTAATACGAGCACGCGTTTAATTGCACCTCATTGGACGTAGAAAAGCCACTCAGCGACGAGAAAGCGAAAGATAAATTCCAGGAAAACTCGAGATCACATTTGGGCGATTCTAAAAACGAGACTGACTCATATGTTGCTTGGAAAGATGTATAAACAGCAGTGACATCTACTGATGATTTGAACCAAAGGGTCATAAAAACTAAGTCTATTGAACTGATAGATTCACGTGAAATCATCCCATCAGTGTCTGAACACGATAAAGAATGAAAACAAATCAGATCTATATTAACTAAAAGTCCATGGAACGATCGTGAACAGTAATGGGCAACGAAAGCAAAACATATGGAGAAGGCAGCGGCTGTAGGTAACAAGACAGCTCGAAAAACTAACAAAAGAAACCATAATTAGGAAGTCAAGTGTAGGTGACAAAAATCTTGGGGAAAGATGAAATTATAATCTATTCTCCGTTTAGACATTTAGAGCGATGAGCGGAACACTTTAGGGAGCAATTTAGCTGGATTTCAGCTACCCACTATTTTCAAACACCCTATATGGGACATCGATGATTGAAGTTCAAAGTGCTATAGCTAATATGAAGTAAGGAAGAGCAGCTGGTCTAAATGGATTAACTTCAGAGGTCTTCAAGGATAGTGGTGAAGTATTGGCGATTAGGTTGACTAATATTTTAGCTAAATTTTGGGAACTGGACGCAATCCCATCTGATTGGTCGAAATCGCTGATTGTCCAATACATAAGAAGGGGTCAAAATCATCCTGTGATAACCATAGAAGGATTGGTCTGACTAACATGACATGAAATATAAATACTAGCCTCAATAATTATCGGACGCATAACAAGCACTCGTGAACTGCAAACACGAGAAAATCAGGTTGGTTTCAGACTTGACCTTGACTGCATCGACCACATATTCACCATTCGTCAGACTTTAGAACACAGGCATGCTTATTGGCGTCCGACAATGGTGGTCTTTCTTGACTTAAAAGCAGCAATGACTCGATGGACCGCGAGATTATGTAGCAGCGTCCGTCATTCGAAGGTGTACCTCAGAAGTACATAAACCTTGTGAAGGCTCTTTACTCGAACACTATCAGTCGAGTCAGAGCTAATGGCGAACCGTCATCTGATTTCGCAACCTCAAGCGGTGTCCAGCAAGGCTGCATGAGTCCAAAAGGCCCGTCTGGCTTTAGCTAACTTCCATCACCTGTGGCGAAGGCGAGATATCCGTATATTAATGAAAGGACGAGTATACTATGCGGCAGTTCGTTCGGTCCTACTTTATGTCTGAGAAACATGGCCGTTAAGGGTAAAGGATACTCGCCAGTTACTAGTATTCGATCACAGGTGTCTTTGAAAAATTGCTTGCATCTGCTGGGATCACTGAGTAAGTAATATTGAGGTTAAATGTAGGGTATTAGGAAATGGTGGTAAATCAGTCGATGAGGTGATTCTTCATCGACTGAGGTGATTGGATTACGTATTACACATGCATAACCATCGACTGCCTGGGCACGTAATGTTACATAGTATTGGAGACGGAGAGAAGAAAGTTAGGAGCGGTCAAAACAAAACGTGGCATCAGTCCTTGAACTCATTAACATCTCGTTTGAGCCATATTGACATATGCAGACTACTTGGTTGGGGCCGACACGGCTATCGTAATCAGTGGTTGAAGAGTGAGTTGCATGGCTGAGAATCCACCACAATGGCATAGGGGCAAGACTATAATTTAGACAAACCAGTCAGATATAAAACGAGTCATGGATTTTGGTACAAAATTTATCCATATATTTGGCAAATGACCATTTTTGGCATTATTGCTGTTTGTTCGTGATGAAAACTATAAATTCCTAACCCTAACCGTCAACTGTAAATCTTAATGCTAGTTCCTCATCGTCGTTTATAACCCTCATTTGGTCCTAATCAGTAGGTGGACATTCTCAAGGTCACTTTGGCATCACTCAAAGGTCGTCCATAAATTGTCCAACGACTAAACCTTTCCCTATGTATCACATCCTTATACACGACCTTGTTTTTATCAGTCAGTCAGTAACGACGTATAACTTCGTACATACGTACGTACGTTCGAGTTGCCATACCACCTTGTCTTTATATATTACTACAATTGAAATAACTGGTACTATGAACTTAGTGTTCATCCTGTTGTGCTAATGAGGTGTGGCAACTTGAAACGATGCATATATGAGCCCGTTTTTACGTTGTAGCCGAGCGACTGACTACCTCCAAATCCAAAAATCTACATCACCCAAAACCACGATATTAAAGCTATGACATAAACCTAGATTACTGTATGCTTTTATTCGGTTTTATCACCGGAAAAAAATACTTATTATGCTGTTTAAAGTCAATTTATTTACAATACAGTCAATGAGCAACAAATCTCTAGGATGTATCTTACCGTTAACTGACTACATGATGATTAGATATGTTCTGTGATCCAGAAGCTATATGCACGTTCGTTAGTATGAAAATTAGTGGCCGCAGTTAGTCGGCTAATAACTTAACTAAGTGCCAGGCTAATTTTAACAATAGCTAGCGAGTTATTAAAAAGCTATACGTCTCATAACTACACCTTTAACATACTATCCTGTTTCAGTCTAGTACAGATACAGCCTGTCTTGTAGAGTTACCTCGATAAATTGAGGGGCAATGCTTAATTTTTATTTATCAACTCTAATACATAGTCAACATAACAAGTACACATGTATTTTGATGATGTGATAGTGCTTATTACACTGATGAAAAAGAAAGCTCTAACAAAGTATATGAGGACAACAGATACCGATAGTGACCATGAATGACACAAATAAGAGGCAACATTAACAAGACAAAAAACTACTTCTGAAGTTCAGTTTCCAACAAGCGAACAGTCAAAACAATATTGGCTAGCACAGCCCCCAAGTGTGACCTTGAAGGGGACTTAAATTATGGAGCCCGCATGATTACCGTTAGCAAAAAGTTATTTCAAACTACAATACAATCTTCGGTCTTCAGTAATAAGGATAGTAGGTTGGTTAACCTGTATTAGTCCAGACACATTGCTTTCCAGTGAAGGTCCAGCTTCTCCTTGAAAGTATACACTGATGAGGCTGATACCACTTGTTCAGTTAAGGCGTTCCAATGATTGACTACTCGATGAGAAAACGGGACCACACTTTAAGTTTATTAGATCGTGGTTTATGAACCTTCTTGCTATGACCTCGGAGATTAATAGTGCTGGAGGGAGCAAAAAGATAAGACATATTAACACCCAAATCATAATTAAAGATACGAAATGCCAGTATAAGGTCACCTCGTGTCCTACGATACGACAAGGGGAAAAGATTTAGGCGTTTTAAACGCTCATCGTAAGGGAGTCTAGAAAGACCCTTCACTAATTCCGTTCCTATACGCTGGACACGCTCAAGGGAGTTAGTTGCTTTACCAAACACGGGCTAGCTGCTTGGATACAGTACTCTAAATTTGGTCTAACATATATGTGATATAAAATTCGAAACGTTTCCTCGTCAAAAGATTTGAACGCTAGGCGAAGTGACCATTACTCACGAAAACCTTTGACAGCGGCTGCTTTGCAATGCGTACTTGTTTTTAAATCATGACTTAATACTACTCCTAAGTCTTTATGCTCTTGAACGCATGGAAGGGGTTTACCCTCCATAGTGTAACGGTAACTATTACCGTAGGCGATGTGCATTAGTACACTCTTCCTAGCATTGATTTCAAAGCCTCACTCTCGGGCCCATCTGACAAAATCGTCTAAGTCAGCTTGATGATCCAGATGATCAGCCGCACTTTTTATTGTTCTCCAGATTTTCACATCATCCGCAAACAATAATGTCGACGACCAAAGTAACAGCGGTAACTCATTAACGTAGAGAAGGAAGAACAAAAGGCCTAGGATGGTGCCTTGAGGAACATCACTTTTGACCGGCTTCCAATCGGATAGCGTTCCGTTGACCCTCACTCTCTGTCTGTGGTCACATAAGAAATTTCCTATCCACTCATGTACAGTACCTATTATTCCGAAGCTCGTGAGCTTCTGCATAAGACCTACGTGTGAAACCTTGTCAAATGCTTTGCTAAAATCTATGAATAATACATCGACAGACAGACCGTTATCTGCTGTCCAATCCTCCCTCGCAATAAGCAAGTTAGTCAAGCATGAACGCTTGTTACGAAATCCGTGTTGCTCTGGAGCTAACAGTTGTGTAAATCTATGTGGCTTAGCAACCTAACCCGAATTATTTTTTCAAGTAACTTAACGACTATGCTAGTTAGACTGACAGGCCGGTAGTTAGATGCTATCTGTCGCTGACCGTCCTTAAATATAGGACTAACTATAGCATCCTTCCAATCTCTAGGAAGTTGAGCGAGTGAGAGGGACATGTTGAAGAGTGTCGCAAGCGGTTTTGAAATAATGTACGCAAGACATGACAGCAACCGTGGATGTAACCCGTCAGGGGCCGGTATCTCACCAGATTTGAGGTTAGTTATCAACGGAAGGACATTTTCCTAAGTCACCTGTACAGATTCGATGGTTGGTATCTCGGTGTGAGTGGGACAAGTATTTGTTACAATAAACGTAGAGAAGACTTCGCTAAAATAGTCTGAAAAAGTCTCAGCTTTTGCTCGATCTGATTCAGCTAGTAAATCTGAATTTTCGTGTAACAGTAACGGAGGAATACCATCACTACGTTTCATTCGCCGTTTAACATACGAAAACAATCTTTTCGGACAAGTACGGCTATCATATACTAACTGTCGTTTGTAAGTGGTACGGGATATGGCTATGGTTTTCTTACAGATATTACGGAAGTTTTGGTACTCACGCTTAAATGGTGCATGATCTGTCAACAAGAATAAGTCCGAGAAATGTTTCCTACGCTTTAACAGCTTCCAGGTTTCCTTATTAATCCATGAAGGGCAATGTGATAGCTTACGTGCTGACCGCGGGATAAACGGCGACGTTACGGACTCGAATGTAGCCTTAAACTTATTCCATTCATCTTTGATCAATCCATCCGCGTCGACCGATCAATCAGTCGAGATAGCACAGTTTCTGATTTCCGGAATATTGGCTCGCCAGATATTGGGACGGGGTGGAGCAGGTACAAATTGTATACCATGTGTCCTAAACTTAACGTGAATTACAACGTGATCACTGTTAACTAGTGGGGGATGGTGCTGAATATCAAAGACATCCTCTTAGTGCTGGGTGAGGGCGAGGTCCAGCAGTGACGGATCATGATTAAAATCAATGTGTCGGTTTTGTGATACATTTTACAAGTGCATACTGAATAACGGTAGATAAAAGGTCGCTATCGAAACCACTACCTGGAGCTGTGAGCTCCGTCCAGTTGATATGCGGTGCGTCAATTATGAGACTACATTCTGCCATACTCCAAGAACAGATGTGTCTGATGATAAAGTCGTCAGCAAGACAAAACAGACTACGGTATATTCCCCCTATAGTCACTAATCTATTTCTAGATTTAATCTTACAACATGCAACCTCACATGTGCCACTGATATGAGCTTCCGATATGGTTGATTGTATACGGGAATTATGCCTAACGTATAATAGTATGCCTCGCTCTTTGCGACTTGAAACTCAATCACTTCTAATACATATATAGCATGCAATGAAAGGAGAACAGTCTATATCTTCTGTGAACCAAGTTTCTGTAGCAACGATTATATTGGGACATAATTCTTCAACCATCAGACGTAGCTCGGACGTTTTATTTCTAAGATTACGAGTGTTCGTGTAGCACACACTTAAAGTGTTTTGGCAATCAATCGTTCTACCCATACAGACCTCGGAAGCATTGGCTTCCAAGACCTGACTACTCGAAAACCCTTAATGGTAAGGTTATTTTCACCATTTAATTTACGAGTCCTCAACTCCGTAAGAGCATTCTTCCACTTGATTCGATCCTCAAGCGGCCAATCTGGTCGAATACGGTCGAATACACTAACTCCAATTGAACGGATAACATTTACAGGCTCTCAGAACCAGAAACCTTGTAATCTTGTTTTCAATAAAGAGTATCATTCTTTGTTTGACTACTTTTGCCAAACCACTTTTGCTTGGGCTGAAATAGGTTTCTGAACATCAAAACAAACCGTTTCTCGTTTGGAATAAAATTACTTCAACCACCGAATACAAGAAATGGTACCAATTCAACAATGATCTCTTCGGCGATCATTATATTAATAGTTGAAGTAACCATCACAAACTGAAATCGTTTAAGTATTTAAGATAGTTCATTTTTATATTACTTTTCGGATCAAAATAGTTCAAATGTTTGTGAATGCGATGGAAAAAGCCTCTACTTGTAGGGATTTCGTAACTGGAAGCGATTGGGTATCAGTGAATTTTGATAGTGACCTAAGAGTATTTGATGGGTGAAAGAGAAATGTTAGCCAAATCAAATGAAACAACCTTTTGAGTCCTTGAGAACTTAACGACGTCACGGATATTCAAGGCTTGGAAACACGTTTTTATGTATAGTCTTTGTGATCAAATAATCTCAAACCTGGTCAAACCACAAGTCAATAACGAAGGGGGTTGAAAATATTTTTTCCAACGTTGAGTAGCATTTCATCTTATTCGGCTCGTTCTTGGGATGGATGCGAAAACGGGTGTGCCCAGTGGTGATCTTGCAGAGATGCATGAACGAGGACCTCCAGCTAGTTTCTCTTTAGTGAGGTTGAAGTGATCAAGACCAACTGCGAGAACTTACAGAATTATTTATTTCGTGGATTTGTTTACCTCTACAAATGTATATATTATGGGATAATTAGACTAATGTTTAGATAAAATTGTGGTTGGAGGTAGTCAACAGGAAACCGTGAACCTAAATTTCGTGCTACCTGACACTCATCATCAAGGTTTACTTAATAATAATAATAATAATAATAATAATAATTTATTCTCAAATAACATTGTTACATGAGGCATGCCAGTTTACAGGCTAGATCAAATTGATACAAATGATACAATGTACACTGTAATAAATTACATAGCTGGGTTGGTAATTTATAAGATATGAATGTCGATGGTTTGAATCAGTACCACAGTTGGCGCGCTTCATGAAAGTTGCGTTGCGAATGTGCGACTGATGGTCAAGGATAGGTCCATTGTAGGTATGAGCTTTTAGAAATCGCAACCTTATTTCCTTCTGGGATATCCAAGGCTTTACGGATGGTGCAGGATGAAGTCACCAGTTCCATATCTCAAGGGGTCTGAAAGAGGGAGCAAGTAAAAGAAAACACGAGAGGCAGAGTAGCCAATATTCATTAAGGAATGTTTAAGGTATGATTACTCAGTCTAATTTTCCTTTATTAAGGTATATGTTAAGAAAGAGCATTTTAATAGGTTGAAGAAAATAAGTGTTGACAAGGTGTGAGTTAACATACAACTGACAAATGGGGGCGATTCGGAAAAGAGCTGAGAGTATAAGATTATGTGTGATTATAAAATAAAATATAGTGCTAGAAACAGTATTGTGATATGCATTTGGCTGTCTTCCCTTTAATATCGAAGCTATTAGAGCCCCTTTCGTTTTTTTAAATATTTTCCCCCCAGTTATTATAGGGTCTTGAGTAGGCTTCGTATATTAGCGAATTGTCTAGTTTGCTTGTGATAGGATTTCTGGGTAGGAAGTGAAACCAATTCAACGTTCGTAACACGACTTAAAGAGGTATTTTGCGTGAATAGATCAGCTTCAACACCATAAGTTCGTGGCATCCCACTAAACGATAAGGGTGCCGGCTGACCTCCTGTAGGACTGAGATGCTCAAATTTACTGTTCGATCTTCACGGCCTTAACATATCCTGTACACACGTCTCATTGTTATATTGCTTGTAAAAGCTTTACAAAATACATTTAGCACCCACTCTTATTAAATAGTTCTTACACACTC